AGAGGTTCCTGGGAGAAAGGTGTGTCCCGGGGAGACTTGACACCGGGGAGCCACAGAGGGGATGCTCGGCTGGGTGCCTGAGGTCCCCAGATGTGCCACACTGCAGCAGGAGAACGGGGTGGGATAAGTGGTGCTGGGTTACCCTGTCCCCCACTGGGGGAAAGAAGTGAAGTTGGGTCACCCCTCCCACCTTGCACAAAGGTAAACTCCAAGGAGATCTGTGAGACAACCCTTTCAGGGGAAGAGGGTGAAGGAATTAGGAAACCATACAGGAGACTCTCTCTGTAATCAGGGCATGAGGGAGGGCAGCCTAAGCCACACATAGAAACAAGAGGCTCTAAGGGAGAAGGAGCCTGCCCTCAGGGGGAACTGGAGGCCCTGAGCAAAGAGAGGAGGCAAGTGACAGAGTGTGAGGTGACGCCTGCGGCATGTGTAGCACACAAGGAATTGGCCAACCCTCTGCGGGACTGTGCTGGACTGTGCTGAGGCGCCCAACTGCATCTTAGAACAACTGGGGGGGGGGGGCGCGGGGCGAAGGGAGCCTGGGGCCAGCCCTGGCCACAGTTGTCAAACTCGAAGCGGAATGGCGCTGTGGCAGCTGAGAGATTGACCTGGTGAGGGCCGTGCCTGTCTGTGGGTGGCACCTCAAAGTGAGGGGCTGGTGGTGGAAACGGCTTTGAGACTGGCGCATGGGGTCCCGGTGAGGAGGCAGAGTCTGAGACTGGCTGTATGGGCCGGGAAGCCCGGTGCGTGCAACCTCCTGTGTGTGCCCTTCATGGGGGCGGGGAGCGGGGAGGGCAAATCCCAAGACCCCCAGGAGAGGTAGCAAGCTGGGGAGGGCACTGGGAGTTGGTGTGCAGCCCGTACCTACAGGTACCCAAAGTGGTCGTCCTCAGGAGATGCGTAAGAAGCAAGACCAGGCCTTTTGTGGAGCTGGAAGGCAGTCCACGGGGACGGGCCCCCCAGATTTACCCAAGAGGCAGGCTAGGCTGGGGCGGGCCCCCTCAAGGCGGGGCACTTCCCCATGGAGTGTGACAAGCTGCAGCTTTGATGCCCTTGTCGAACGTTTACCATGGGGAAGCCCAGAAAGAATCCGTTCACTGTAGCAGGCAGGTGGGCACGTTCAGTGTTGGTGGCCCCACGCCGTTTCATTCTGGATTAGGTGTGTTGGGGGGGGGAGTTGCACCACAGTCTTCCTGGGGCTGACAGCCTCTGAATGTCTCCATCGGGCCCTGACTGGCAGGCATGCTCCCGAACCCCCTCCCCCGCCCCTAGGGCTCCTGCCTGGCACAGCAAGCAACCAAGGCATAAAGGGCAGACCAGGGGCCTGAGCTACCCGACACGGGGGGAGTGTTTGGGGGAGGGCAGTGCCAGCAGAGGCACCGGAGGCTCTTGCCTTGGGCCAGGGTCCCACCCTGGAGACCCTTGGACGCCAACGGGCTTCCCTGTGACAGACAGTTGCTCAGGAGATGAGCAGACAGTCTCCACGGTCCTCCCTGTGTTAGAAGTCAGCTGTGGCCCCAAAGGGCCAAGGGCCTGCCTTGGAGAGGGGGGACAACTGCCTGTGGCAGCACTCGAATGGGGATTTGGCAGAGCGCAGAGGAGTGGGGAGGTGCCTGTTAATTTGGGACCCCGAGCCAGGAGGAAGGAGATCTCCTGACTTTGTGCTGTGCTTCAGGAGGCTGAGCATGAAGGGGTGTCGCTGAAGACAGCATTGGCCAAACAGGCTCCCCTGGGACAAGTGGGTGTGGGAGCTGTCTGCAGGGCACCCCTACTTGGGAAACATTGCCCAGTCCCCGTGAGGCTGGCTTGGGAGAAAGTGTTGGTCACATTAGCAACTCTTAGGAAACATGACAGGGCCCTGCAGCCAGCAGAGCAAGCCCCTGGGGGGTAGGGGGGCGGGGGTGCTGTGTGTGTTTGTGTGTGTGTGTGTGTGTGTGTGTGTGAGCCCTGCTGGGGGTGTGTTGTCACAGTAACCACAAGTCACATGCTGGCCATCCAAGGTGCCAGTGCCTGGGGAGAGGCGGTGTCCCCGTTGCAGGTTGGAAGATTCCCCAGAGATGGTCCTGGGACCCGGCCGGCTCCAGTACCTGCTAGTCAGCCCGAAGGGTGAGGGGTCGGGTACAAGCTGAAGAGTTGTAATCCACCTGCCACCCAAAGCCCGGGAGGAGGGAGGAACAAATATGACTATGGTGTGTGTGGAGGAGAGCATGCAGAAGGCAGAGTGCTGATGCCCAGGGCACCGTGGCCCGGAGCAGCATCCCAGGGAGACCAGGAGAGGGCACCAGGCACAGAGGCAGCCCTGCCCAAGGGAAGCTTCTTGTGGCCTGTGTTGTGGGCCAGGGCTTAGGGGAAGAGGACCATCGCTTGACACGTCAAAACCACTCAGGGAAGCTGGCTTTGGTGATGCAGGGGCCACGGGCTGCTGGGAGGGCTCTGGCAGCGCTCAGCGGGGAGGCTGCCTGAGTCGTCCAGGTCCACGGAGTGGTTCCGTGCACAGGGCTGGGCTCCTCCTTTCCTCCCGGGGGGCCGGGAGCTTGGATGGGGGTGACGGAGACGTTTCTCCCGATGGACCGGCCATAGCCCCGCCAGGCACCCAGCGTCTGCCCTACCGCCCTGACCGGGAGTTCACGGAGGGCTCCACGGGCCCCTTCTCGGAGGTCACCGAAGGGACCGGGGAGAGGGCCAAAAGGAGGTTCCCCCGAAGGAAGCGGGGGCCAACCTTTCTCCCTCTGCCAGGAACTGGGGTTTGGGGTCCCAAGGAAGGGAGTGGGCCCAGAAGTAGGTTTAACAGCCGCCTCACAGGAGAGACAGAGAGAGAGAAGGACACCAAGGGGTTGGGGGGGGGAGTTGCACCACAGTCTTCCTGGGGCTGACAGCCTCTGAATGTCTCCATCGGGCCCTGACTGGCAGGCATGCTCCCGAACCCCCTCCCCCGCCCCTAGGGCTCCTGCCTGGCACAGCAAGCAACCAAGGCATAAAGGGCAGACCAGGGGCCTGAGCTACCCGACACGGGGGGAGTGTTTGGGGGAGGGCAGTGCCAGCAGAGGCACCGGAGGCTCTTGCCTTGGGCCAGGGTCCCACCCTGGAGACCCTTGGACGCCAACGGGCTTCCCTGTGACAGACAGTTGCTCAGGAGATGAGCAGACAGTCTCCACGGTCCTCCCTGTGTTAGAAGTCAGCTGTGGCCCCAAAGGGCCAAGGGCCTGCCTTGGAGAGGGGGGACAACTGCCTGTGGCAGCACTCGAATGGGGATTTGGCAGAGCGCAGAGGAGTGGGGAGGTGCCTGTTAATTTGGGACCCCGAGCCAGGAGGAAGGAGATCTCCTGACTTTGTGCTGTGCTTCAGGAGGCTGAGCATGAAGGGGTGTCGCTGAAGACAGCATTGGCCAAACAGGCTCCCCTGGGACAAGTGGGTGTGGGAGCTGTCTGCAGGGCACCCCTACTTGGGAAACATTGCCCAGTCCCCGTGAGGCTGGCTTGGGAGAAAGTGTTGGTCACATTAGCAACTCTTAGGAAACATGACAGGGCCCTGCAGCCAGCAGAGCAAGCCCCTGGGGGGTAGGGGGGCGGGGGTGCTGTGTGTGTTTGTGTGTGTGTGTGTGTGTGTGTGTGTGAGCCCTGCTGGGGGTGTGTTGTCACAGTAACCACAAGTCACATGCTGGCCATCCAAGGTGCCAGTGCCTGGGGAGAGGCGGTGTCCCCGTTGCAGGTTGGAAGATTCCCCAGAGATGGTCCTGGGACCCGGCCGGCTCCAGTACCTGCTAGTCAGCCCGAAGGGTGAGGGGTCGGGTACAAGCTGAAGAGTTGTAATCCACCTGCCACCCAAAGCCCGGGAGGAGGGAGGAACAAATATGACTATGGTGTGTGTGGAGGAGAGCATGCAGAAGGCAGAGTGCTGATGCCCAGGGCACCGTGGCCCGGAGCAGCATCCCAGGGAGACCAGGAGAGGGCACCAGGCACAGAGGCAGCCCTGCCCAAGGGAAGCTTCTTGTGGCCTGTGTTGTGGGCCAGGGCTTAGGGGAAGAGGACCATCGCTTGACACGTCAAAACCACTCAGGGAAGCTGGCTTTGGTGATGCAGGGGCCACGGGCTGCTGGGAGGGCTCTGGCAGCGCTCAGCGGGGAGGCTGCCTGAGTCGTCCAGGTCCACGGAGTGGTTCCGTGCACAGGGCTGGGCTCCTCCTTTCCTCCCGGGGGGCCGGGAGCTTGGATGGGGGTGACGGAGACGTTTCTCCCGATGGACCGGCCATAGCCCCGCCAGGCACCCAGCGTCTGCCCTACCGCCCTGACCGGGAGTTCACGGAGGGCTCCACGGGCCCCTTCTCGGAGGTCACCGAAGGGACCGGGGAGAGGGCCAAAAGGAGGTTCCCCCGAAGGAAGCGGGGGCCAACCTTTCTCCCTCTGCCAGGAACTGGGGTTTGGGGTCCCAAGGAAGGGAGTGGGCCCAGAAGTAGGTTTAACAGCCGCCTCACAGGAGAGACAGAGAGAGAGAAGGACACCAAGGGGCCACGCAGCGAGCGGCAGCCATCGTTGCTAGCCTTGGGCACTGAATGCCCGGCGATGGGTTGCCAGGTGGTCCCCGGGGATGTGTAGGCAGACCCCAAGGATACTGCCCTTCCTGCCCAGGCTAGCAGTCCAGGAGAAACCCCTTCCTCCAGGGATTTCCCTGCTCCAGGTGCCAGGCACTGGGCCGCCGGCTTCCCAGGTGCTGTGTCCTGCAGTCCTGATTCCACCAGCCCCACCTCTGCCCCCTGGCTTCCGCCCCTGGCCCCCAGCCCCTTCTCCAGGCCGAGCCTGAGCACTCCCGCCCACCTCCGCCCCCGCCTCCTGTGAGCGCCCATAAGCGCGCCCCGGTCAGGGAGCAGAGGCCCCAGGGAGTCAGCGTCGGTGGCCTACTTCCGTCTTCCTCTGCATGCAGACTGTAAACTCGGGGACAAGTTCCACGTCTCGTTTTCGCCAATCAAAGCGCACAACTTTATTGATGATACATACAAACGTAGGCCTGGGTGGATGAGGTTAAGTCAGTACAGCACAGACAAGGGGCGTGTCCTTCGTGGACGCACAGGTTCTCCATCCATCCGCTCGCATAGAAGAAGGAGTAAATGGGAAAGAATTCGACCTAAGCGGCAACAGATGCGTTTCCAGCACGAGCCCCGACACGTGTCTGGTCTCCACAAAGCGGCCCGGCTTGGACAGGGAGACCGCCACGGGCAAGGCCTCCCTCGCCATGCTCTTAGAGGATGTTCCGTCGCCGCGGCTGGCGGCTGAAAGGATCCCTCTGCCGCAGGAGGAAGGCCGCAAGGGAGTAACCGACAGCGCACACGGCCTGCAGACTGCAAAACCAAGAAATTACTCCGAGCTCTGGGGGGACCCCTGCCTGGCCCAGAAGAGTGTGGTCCTCCACGTAGCAAGTGTAACTTGCACCCCGTGATGCGGTGACTGGCTAAGGCTGGATCTTCAACAGCACCCACTGCAGACTCTTTGAATGAGAACACGAGGCTGTGTTCACCAGCAGGCTTTTGGGTGGATTCCGTCCCGCTCCGCTCCGCTCCGCTCGAGGCGGCCATCTAAGAGGCCAGGGTGTCGGGGAGAGCCTGTGTGTTTCCGTTCCTGATCAAGAGGGACACGAATGAGAGCAGCGTTTGGGCACCCAGCGATTCCCCGGCCAAGACTGGCTTTTCAGACAAACCCACCGACAGTTCCAAAACCTGAACCTCGGCACCTCCACTTCCCTCGGCTATCAAAGGGAACTTCAAGTCTGAAACGGACTCGGCAAGCATGTGATTAATAACTGTCATGCTTATTAACAAATTGAATCCGGCCCGCTGCAGAAATGAGTTGCAGCAATGTGACACAGTCTCCCGACACACTCCACTGATGGACATCTTAATCTGGCCCTGGTTTTCAACCCCGGCATTCAAGTTATCCAGAGCACAGAAAGCCTTCTCCTTAATAGCGGGGTCGGGAGTGGGGATCGTGCTTCCAACAACGCCGAGGCTGGTCGAATGACTATCGGTACCGTGGCTAAATGAAAAACCAGCATCCTTGGGCTGAGCAAACCACATTTTCCCCTGAATGAAAGGACACTTAGAGAGGTCAAGTACACACCTGAAATTTCTAAAGCTTTGAGTGCTCCAAGAATTTTTATGTTCATAGGGGAATGGGCGCTGTTTTACTGGGTGTGTTCGGTTGGCCTTGCCCCCACCTGAGGGCCTGTCCTCAGTGCCACCAGGGGCCCCAGGTTCAGTCCAATCCCCTTCCTCACTCCAGGGCCGAGCCATAGTTGTGAAATCAAACCAAAGCTCAGGTTCTTCCTCATCCAGCTCCTGGTCATCGTCCCATTCCTCTTCCTCCTCCTCCAACTTGTCACTGTCATCTCTTCCTATGGTTAGTTTGTAAACACAGTAGCAGGCACCAGCCCCAATCATCAGTCCTGCCGCCATCCAACCCACTTCCCGAGCCCGGCCCATGCTCAAGTCCGTGCCAGCCTTTGGATAGGACAGGAGAGGGCCTTGTTCCACCTGATTGAGGAGGATTCTTAGGGCCAGGGTGAGTAATGGTGGAGCGTAGTCCTCTTCAGCCTCTCCAGGGCTCCTGTAGCTCCCTTGTGATGAATCTATGGGTGCAAAATGGTATTAGGGCCTTGTGCTGAGTCTCAGTTTGTGCCTCACTACACAAATAGAGTGGAGTTTGAGTTCTGGTTGAGAGAGGTGGATTATTAGGAAACTATTTCTTTGTTCCTTTTTGTCATCCTCTATCTACCCTCAGGACCCACCATTTCTCCCCCAGGCCCTACAGAAAAGGGCAGGGGATGGGGCTGGGCTATGACAGCCAGGAGGGTGACATGGAGAGGCACAGGCTCAGGTAGTTTCCTCCACTACCACCCCCTCCCCCAAAGATTCACAGGCAGGTCTCTCCCACCAACCTCTACCAACGTCAGGTAAATTTCTTCTTCTACCGTCGTCTTCTGTTGTCAGTACTCCTTCCACGGAGATTGATGGACAGTCTGGCAGAAGGTCGGAAAGACAGCTGGCTTTGGAGAACTGAAAGGGTGGTGGATGGATCAGCACTGAGAACACGGGTCCTAATACCCGCTTTTCTGCATTTTCAGCCTTTGACTTTAAAATATTTCTCACACCTTCCCGACTTTCCAAACGAGGGCTCCCCCCCTCCTCCCCCGTTATCGTCCGCCATTTCCCCAGCAAAGGCCGCCACACCCCTTTCCCTGCACTGAAATGGGAGGGGGTGTGGAGAAAGAAGGGGCCAGGAGAGGGCGACTCGGACCCGGCCCGCGCAGATCCCAGCCCTTCCTCCTCCGCCACCCCCAACGCCACCCCCAGCCAGGGTCCAGGGCTCATCCCACCTTCACACGGACCTGCACGGTCCCAAGGCAGTTGGCTCCTTCCCTCGGCACGACTTTTGAGGCGACCTATGGGCCAGTAGACCCTACAAACCTGCAAACAGGCAGGGAACCGAGGGGACGGAGTGCTTGGTGGACGGAGCAAGACTCGGGACACCAGTACCCTGAGTGTGGCACCTTGCTTCGGAGTCTCTGTCAACCGCCATCCACTCGCCTCACCCCCACCCAAGGTCCGCCGGTTCTCTCCGCTAAATGGGCACAAGGCGGGGGGCGGTGGTATTTAGAAAGTAGGCGGGAAGGGAACCCAGCCCGAATCAGCCCGAACCTGGATCCGGGGCGCCCTTGGCCCTCTCCTCTCCCCACCCGCCTCTAAGCAGAGCCAAGGCTGCTACCGACCTCGCGGTCCGGGGCTAGTTTCCTTCTTCCTTCACACGCCTGCGGAGTAATGGGGGGCTGGTACCCAGACGGAGGCGACTAGCAGGACTTCTGCTCCAGGCAGCTCTTGGTCACGTGACGACCACGTCACCGGTGAGCTCTGGCCCCCAGTTTCCACTCCCACAAGCAGTGCGGCAGGCGCCAGCCTGCCCCGTACCTCCCCCCTTCGCACTGGGCCCTGTCATTCTTTTCCTCTATAACAATACCATTAAACCAGAAGTGGCCGTGGCTCTCTGGTGTTTGAATTTGCCTTTCTCTAAGTATACGAAGGGGCCGCATCTTCTCTTGGGTCTGCCGTTCCTTATACTTCTTCTGGGGGGAAATTTCTTATCCTTTCCTTGGCTCTGAAACGCCTGCCCCCCAGTCCTTAATTTCTACCCCTTTGCACATCCAGTCTCTGCACCAAAATTGGGGGTGGGCGGTGGCATAAAAGGAAGCTCAAGTCGTGAGGTTTTTATTAATATTTTTCATACATTTATGTTCTATTTCTTCCTTCCTTTTTTATTGACTCAAGCTAGATTATTTTGTAACCAGAAAACATAATAAATCTATTTCACTTGGAGAAAAAAGAATTCAAGTTATGTACATTTGTGTGTGTGTATATACATATATATGTAATAAACAAAATTTTCCAGTTAATAGAGAGGCCTCATTGATTTGGTTAAATTAATTTGTACCCTGTTGAAAATGTTTTCTACTGACTGCACAGGAAATAGCAGCTTTCAAACAGCATATTAAAATTTAAAAATATATCCTTACAAACAAAACCAGTGTGCTTTCAGATGATTTATAAATTGGTGGATAAAATGAATCTATAGTGAGGTGGTCAGTGTTTTACTTGTGGCCATTTTCGATAAGTGAATCACTCTCCCTTTCTTACTCCTGGCTTAACTCATAGTATTAAGTGTCGGATGGCTGAGAACTTCATAGAAGATTGCTGGATAGCTTTCACTCTGGCTTCAAAGGACAGACTATGCAGACCCTAAATTCAGTTGAATCTTACCGTTCAGATGAACTTTAGAAATCAGTAACTTCGCAGGTTAGCCTGTCTTTTGTTCAAAAGTCTTTATTTAAAGTCTATTCTGAAGTTTCACGGTGTAACTCAGAAATAATCCATAAATTAGAGTTGTCCCTGCTCTCCCACTGATGGAAATGAGGCTTAGCGGGTGGAATTTTCATTTAATCGTGACACTGGTGAGATATCTCCGGGATCTGTTGTTCATGTACTATATGTCTGTCATCCCCAGCAGCCCCTAGTGCTCAGCATCTTCCAGTGGAGACAGTGGTGAGGGTCTCTGGGTGACTGTGAATCACTACAACACCCCTGAAATCGGTGTCATTTTTCCCTCACGAAAAGCCTAGTTTACAGGCTGCCAAGCAGTCACAACCAGCTGAAAAGAGGCCTTTTCACTCCCTGCCTTCTGTTACAAGTTCACTGCACGACCCATACAAGCCCCTCAGAATAATCCCAGAACTCAGGGACAAAGTATGCAGAAGTTAGTCCCCAGACATTCAGCTGTCCCTGATAGGGAGTCATACTCTAAATATAGACCTTTCAGGCAGCCTCTTTCTTAGAACGTTGAAATATGACACCCCAGCAGGAAGCTCCCCCTGTGAGGGGCCCCTGTGTGGGGGAGGCCCTTTCAGGAGGTGAGCCAGGGAGCCCAGAGTGCCTTGCTGGTGAATATTCAGAAGTCAAGAGCACATCACAACTTTCTGTCTTCTTCAAAACGTTTATAGTTCAAACTCCTTCACCAGTATCACACCCCTTTTCTCTAAAAATGCTTACCACATTCGTTCTGCATCATCTGCTTCTACTGTTCTTTCTGTCTCCCTTTACTTTCTTCTCCTAGACAAGCGAATTCTATTTATGAAGCTTTACTAACAAATCTAACTGTCCATCATTCAATTTTTGGCTGCTAAGTAATTACATAAGTGGCTTTTGCTTGTTTTGAATGTATACATTAGAAAGAACTAAGGAGTTTGTAAAGCTTAACAAAGCCTCAAGGATAAAAGCGCCACTCTTCCCTCTCCTTACTAGTATAAATTATCTCCCTCCCCCACTTTGGTATGTTTTCCGGTTATTCCAATGTGTAACTCCCCGACCACCATTTTCCCAGTCCGTCAGACTTTTCCCTGTCAGACCTTTCCCGTTTGAATCCACTCCCTCTCTAAAACGTTCCATACTCCATGGAAATGATAACCCTTTCAATTTCTCTCACTTCTTTGTCATTTAGATCCATAATTTCTACCGGGGAACCTAGAAGCTAGCATTTAAAATCTACTTTGCTCTCCATTATACATCCATCAACAACTATTTAAGGGCATGCTATTTGCCTGACATACCGTTTCAAAAGCAAAAAAGGAAAATCCTTAAGCAGTTCCTCAGACAAGCCTGTTAAAAGTTCCTGAGCCTGCAGAAGGCTATGTGAAGCCACTGCTGAAAGGAACCTTTTGGCTCAAATTGGTATGTGGTCCCAGGTGATAGTTGTCTTAGTGCCGCCAAACAAAAAAGGATCAGCAGATGCTAACACTAATGGGATTATAGAGAGTGAGAAAAAAATACAGAGAGAAGATCTTTATTTTAAAAAGCTGTATTACTTTTTGTATTGTGTTATTTGTTTTTGTGTTGTGTATTAGTTAATTTTGTTTGGTTGCAGGCAACAGAACCCAAACCTGGTTTAACAATGAGGGAGTGTTGCGGACCAGGGTCAGCTCTGAGGCGGATAGGTAGGAGGAATTCACAGACAGTCTCTTCAGGATGCCATTGTTCTGCTCTTTTTTTAAATCTGCATTCTAGATTTAAATTTTAGTAAGAGAGTATTGAGTTGGTCTCTTTTGGGCACAATGCCCACCCTTTTGCTGGGGGGAAAGAGGGGGGATGTAAAATGTAAAATTCACTTCCTTTCTTTTCCCAGAGAGGAATGTAAGTTGTTTCAGACAGTTGATTTGCTGGAGCCTTTTCTTTTATTTTTTTATTTGAGAGTGAGAGAGCACAGAGAGAGAGGGAGAGGGAGAAGTAGACTCCTCGCTGAGCACAGAGCTGGTTGCGAGGCTCAATCCCAGGATCCTGAGATCGTGACCTGAGCCAAAGGTTCAACCAACTGAGCCGCCCAGGCGCCCCTTGCTGGAGCCTTTTAACGACTTTGGATGTTAACCCATTGTCCAGCCATGAATGAGATGCTGGGGGCCTGCGTGCCACAAAATGCCTTAGTTGTGGTTTTCACATTCACTAAACATCAGAGAGGTACAGTTCAGAAATCGTGATGCACAGGATCGTTATTCTAAGCCAGAGTGACCTGGCTTTCCTGACGGGATTCCTTAGGGTTGTATTTATATATCAGCGTCTCGCCCTCATTGTTGCATGATCAACCCCAGACTTTATCTGAAAGCAGAGGTCTCTCTCAAGAAAAGACCCCCATTCATAGAGACTCGAATATAAATCTAGATCTGAACACCCGAACCCATGCATCTCTGCATCCCCCCCCTTTAAGTGGGCCAAAAGGGAAGCTAAGTACCGATAGGAGTGACAAGTGAATAATTTACCCTGAGAAATACAACTGTCAGAGGGTACTGAATGTTTTTGTCAGTTTTAACAGTCCATTCTCTCTGTAAGCAAGCTACTACTTAAGAAGCTGCAACCTCAGAAGTTGCTTGGTGAGCCTGCAATCAGAGCAAGGGTACTGGTTCACCTTAAGAAGTGGCTTTCAGTTAAGGAAGCTCGAAGTACTCTTACACATTATGGGGATGGCTCTGCCAAGGAAAGCTGAATGTTCCATTCATCTTAGCCAGGACTCCCTCTCCCCAGACAGCGCTTGGGTGGGAAACTACCAACCCTTAGTCCTCTGACTCTTCTTTTCACACACTCCCATGCTTGAATAAGCCCCATGCTGCACATGATCTTTCTCTGAACACAGTATCACGTAGTTGATTTGGTTTTCTGTTTGCTAAATTTCAGTCATATCCTAGTACTGCCTCCTAGAAGTTACACAGAACTTCTCCGGAGTTCTGCCTATACCCAAACTCTCCAGTCTCTTGATTGACTCCCGTATTGTCTGTGGATTGTACAAGTTATACTTAGATAATAGCCTTATATCTGAACTATCAAGGACTATCCACTGTAGATCCCAACGTTCTGACATTATTTTTATTACTTTTCCCAATATATAAAAAAAAAGGTTCAGTCATTGCTGACAGGTGAATCATTGAGCTCACCAAACCAGTCAGTGAAATGGCTCCACACTAATGACTAGAAGCCAGAGGCCAAGTTCAGCCAATTTTATCTTTGTCTCAGGGTTTCTCTAATACTTATTTATTTCAAGGTGATATTCTCTCTTTGTATCCAAGTATTTTTGTAATATCCTTTTATGCTACCTACTTTGTCAGTGTGCATGCCTTTTTGGACAGGTACCCACTATGTAGCTGTGCCTTCTACTCAACCTTTTCTGTGTTACTGCCTTCTGAGGGCTCCATGCCTCTTCCTTGCTAACCGATGCAAGTGAAAGTCTGTCGCTCTCCTGTTTAGAACCCTGGCCTAGTCAGAAGATTTATGCAATCTCAGACACTCTAATGAGCTCATTCAGGGTGGTGTTACGTGCTAGGCCTCAAGACATTAAGACTGTTTGGAGTGAGGTGTATAGCACTCCCCACGAGTTAGAAAATGTGGGGCTTTTGGAGGCCATCACCCAACATCACTCTCCCAACTCCCACTCTTCCCCCCCCCCAAATGAGAATAGCTATACAGTAATTTTTTTTCTCACAAAAGAATGCTGGCTGGGGGCAGGAGAGGGCAGGACAAAAAGAACAAAAAAAGTATTAAGAAAGTAAAACAAAACAAAACAAAACAAACAAACCACACTCTCACTCCAGGTCTCCTTTTCTGATGGCTTTTTCGTTCCAGATCTGGGACTAGATTTCAGAGGAAATGGTAGACATTAATAGCTGGGAGGAGGGGAGGTTGAAGGAGAGGTTGCTGTCCCAGGAGCTTAGGGAAGGAAGAGGCAATTTTTCAAAAAAGTACAAGTGGCCAGTAGCCCCTGGGGAAGATGCTGTCCCTTCCTGGTAATCCGAGGAAGGCAAACACAACTACGGGGAGATGGGATTAGCAAAGAAGAAAGAGTAACCAGGCCTGGTGTGGGGGAGGGAATGGAGGGGGGCGGGCCCTCTTCTGCCGCACTGCTGGTGGGAGGGGAAATTAGGGACCCGAGTTGGTGGATGACGTAGCTCTCACGTGACCAAGAGCTGACGTGTGCAGAAGTCCTTCTTGTTCTGGTCCTTGTTCCCGTCTGAGTACCAGCTCCCCATTGCCCTGAGGGCCAGCGGGCCTGCGGCAGAGGGAAGGAGGAGGAGAAGAAGGAAATTGTCCCGGATTCTTGCAGGTCAGTGCCTGGGAGATTCCATAAGGTGGGGGGGCCAAGGGCGTAGGGCGGAGACCGTCGCGGGTCCTGAGGCGCCTCCGCCGTCTCTTCCCCTCGCCGCCAGCTTTCCAAGACATCTGTCCCGCCCGCAGCCCATTTCGATGCTGCGAAATGGTGAGCAGGGGGCTGGTTGGGGAGGAGCCCAGAGAACGGGTGTTGGGAATCTGCTGGGAGCCGAGGCCGTAATCCGGAAAGGGAGCTGTGGCCTGGGTGTTGGCCCCCCAGTCCTTCAGGACGGCGCTGGCGGGGAAAGGCTGGACATTTGGGGAGGGGGAAGGTGCAATGTGATGTCGGCAGAACCCTGAGGGGGGTTAATAGGGGTGGGAAACCTTTGACAACCAGGCCTCTGAATTAGGAAAGAGTTTCGTGCTCTGGGGACTGGTCGTCCACCAAGCGCTCAGTAGCGGCCGTTTCCCGTCTTTCTGACTGTGGCTGTGCCTTCCTGACCATGGCTCTGTGTCTAGGGGGTCCGAGCCTCTCCTGGGTTGCCGGTCTTTCCGTAGGTTGCGGCACTACGCCAGGCAAGAGAAGAGGAAGGAAATTAACCCCAATCGGTGAAGGTCGATTTGAGGGTAAGGCTATCTGGGGACCCTAAGAGGGGCGGTGGTGGGGGGTAGGGAGAAGCCAGAGATGGCAATAATCTAGGTTAGGGCTGAGGCTGAGTGTGTTTCTTGCACTCTCGGGACTGTGGTGAAATGGCGTTCGGGGGGTGTGTGTGTGTGTGTGGCGGGGGGTGGGGGTTGGGGAGAATGACAGAAGGAAAACCTATCAGAGAGTTTGTTCATAATCCTCCTCTCTCAACAGCACTTAGTCCCCATGTTTTCGATCTGTCATCCTGCAGGTCTGCTGTAGCAGGTGGTACCTTGAAGCGAGGGAGGAAGTTTCCTCGGATCAGTAGAGGTCGGTGTAGGCGTGGGGGCTGCCCGGAATGGGGGAGGGGCTGGAAATCAGCCACAGTTGGACAAGCTCACCCCATCCTACCTTATTTCCCTAATATCCCTCCCGTTTCGGGTTAGGGAAGGGGCAGGCGTATGCATGTTTTGGATGGCATAGAGGTTAAAAAAATCTGACAGCCTGGAGGGTGAATCAGGAAAGCCCATCAATCCATCAAGTAAGTTCTCAGTTCTCCCTGGCTCTGGTCTCTTGCAGATCGCAAGGGTTGTTGGGTGTGGCACACCTCCAGGGGAGGGAAAAAGGGACCGACTGCCTGTCTGGAGGAGGTTAGTGCAACAGTGCCACTCCCTGGGGACACCCGAGGTTGGGGTGGCTGAGGCCCCAGCAGAGACTAAGGGCTCCATTGCGTTTCTCTAGGCTCGGGGTGAGAGTGGGCTGGGGAGGGTAGAGGGAGGCTGAAAGGAGGAGGATATAGAGGGTTTGTTAACAGTCTACATTTCCTACCAACTACTCATTTATGACTCTCCTGTCCTTCTGTGCAACTCTCTGCATGGGGCAACACAGAAGAGAAACTCAAACCCCATTTCCTTCCTCCACCCCCAGGTCCACCTCCAGTGTCAGCTACTGTGGCCTTGAAGTGGCTGAAGACAATCACCTTCCACAGGCCTGCACCCAGGCCCATAGCCCTCCTCTCTCCCAGCCTGAGTGAATACTCTGTTCCTTGGTCCCTGCTATTGTCAGGGACGATTGCATGGGCTACGCCAGGAAAGTAGGCTGGGTGACTGCGGGACTGGTGATTGGGGCTGGAGCCTGCTATTGCATCTATAGACTGACCCGGGGAAGAAAACAGAACAAGGAGAAAATGGCTGAGGGTGGGTCTGGGGATGTGGATGATGTTGGGGACTGCCCTGGGGCCCGGTACAATGACTGGTCTGATGATGATGATGACAACAGTGAGAACAAGGGCATAGTGTGGTACCCACCTTGGGCCCGGATTGGGACTGAGGCTGGAACCAGAGCAAGGGCCAGAGCAAGGGCCAGGGCTACCCGGGCTCGCCGGGCTGTTCAGAAACGGGCTTCCCCCAATTCAGATGATACTATTTTGTCCCCGCAAGAGCTGCAGAAAGTTCTTTGCTTGGTTGAGATGTCTGAAAAGCCTTATATTCTTGAAGCAGCTTTAATTGCTCTGGGTAACAATGCTGCTTATGCATTTAACAGAGATATTATTCGTGATCTGGGTGGCCTCCCAATTGTAGCAAAGATTCTCAATACTCGGGATCCCATAGTTAAGGAAAAGGCTTTAATTGTGCTGAATAACTTGAGTGTGAATGCTGAAAATCAGCGCAGGCTTAAGATATACATGAATCAAGTGTGTGATGACACAATCACTTCTCGCTTGAACTCATCGGTGCAGCTGGCTGGACTAAGATTGCTTACAAATATGACTGTTACTAATGAATATCAGCACATGCTTGCTAATTCCATTTCAGACTTTTTTCGCCTATTTTCAGCGGGAAACGAAGAAACCAAATTTCAGGTTTTGAAACTCCTTTTGAATTTGGCTGAAAATCCAGCCATGGCTAGAGAACTGCTCAGGGCCCAAGTGCCCTCTTCGCTTGGTTCCCTCTTTAATAAGAAGGAGAACAAAGAGGTTATTCTTAAACTTCTGGTCATATTTGAGAACATAAATGACAATTTTAAATGGGAAGAAAATGAACCTACTCAGAATCAATTCAGCGAAGGTTCACTGTTTTTCTTTTTAAAAGAATTTCAAGTGTGTGCTGACAAGATTCTGGGGATAGAAAGTCACCATGATTTTTTGGTGAAAGTAAAGGTTGGGAAATTCATGGCCAAACTGGCCGAGCGTATGTTCCCAAAGAGCCAGGAATAACTTCTTGATTTTGTAGTTTAGAAGCAACACACATTGTAAAACTATTCCTTTTTCTCCACCTTGTTTATATGGTAAAGGAACCCTTTCAGCTGCCAATTTTGAGTGATGAGTATCATTGTATCATCAAGGCTGATGTTTATCTGAGTTGGTTTTCAGGTCTAAGCTGGATGAACACTACCTGTTCTGAAAACATGTTTGTTGCTTTTTATCTCGCTGCCTAGATTGAAATATTTTTACTATTTCTTTTGCGTGACAGTGAACCCGTTGGTCATAAGTAAGCTCCCTCCTGTCATTTGCATTAACTTTGTGTATCATCAATAAAGTTGTGTGTTAATGCTGAAAAGAAAAAAGAAAGAGACCATCCTTGTCCTTTGGTTTTATAATCTAGTTGGAGAGATAAGAAATATACAAATAAGATAACAGAATATCTGGAGCATATACTCATTGTCAAATGAGTATTGTCTCAGAGCATAGAGGAAGCAAAAGCTTCTGGGTGATATAATAGTCAGCTACAGATTCCTAGAAGAAGCGGACCATCTAAAATGATTCCTGAATGGGGTAGGTCCTTAGGCTTTCCAAGAGCGGGAGTGAGGGAGCACTAGGCTGAGAAAGGCATGGAGGTAAGAACCCTTTTCCTATGACAGTGAGGAGACTAGTCTACTTAGAGTGGAGAGTGTGGGGAATGGAAAGTAAATAAATTTGGAAAGCTGAGCGAAGCCAGTTTGTGGAGAGCTGTTTGAATAGTATCCCACTGAACACCAAGAGCCATTAAATATTTTTGACTAGAAAGAATAACTGGAATTCAGATAGAGGCCTCTCTCACCAGCTGTGCAGGGTTTATGAGGGTGTGGAAAAATGGATCCTACCAAACCCTGGTGGTAGGAATGAGTTTACACTGAGTTTGTACAGGTTTGTGGAGGGCCATTTGGTAATACATATAAGCCTTAAAGTATGTAAACCCTTTGTCCTAAGGAAATAATTGAATAACTGGCTAAAGACTGTATGTACAAGGCTATTCATCCCAGTACTGTCCAAAACAGTAAGAATCAGAAGCAACCTAAGTGTCTAGCACACCGGATTGGTTCAATAAATTGAGGAACGTTCACACGGTATATATGTTAGCTATGTTGATTCAAATCCATATTGCCAGGAAAAGATATTCATTCTGCATTGTTATATGAAAAAAGTAGGTCAGATAGCAGTGTTCATAGAATGGTTCCATTTCTTTTTTGAATTAGTAAAACATATTTTAAAGTAGACACTACTATGGAATTATAGTTATCTAAACAGTAACTGGTATATTTGAGTGGAAGGATAATGAGTGATCTTTACCTTTTTACTTTTTATTCATCCACATGTTCTTATTTATATAAAATGAATACTGGTTTTTTGGAAATTTTTGAAAAAGGAAGTGTTGGGAATGAAGCAGGTGGGTGGAGCATGTACTGAGTAGAAAACAGTTTAGATTAAAAATGAGATGGGTTAAAATGTCCTCTCTGAAATGCTAGATGAGTGATGAAGATGGGGTTTGTCGTGAAGGTTAAATTAAATAATACATGCAAAATACTTAGAATGTTCTGGCACAGAGCAGTTAGCTAAGAAAAATGAGCACCCTTAGTTCCCTAGAATGCAGGGTTGATAGTTTTTTGTTTGTTTTTGTTTTTTTGGTTGACTTTTATTTTGCTGGGGGCATTCTGCCATGTGTCAGTGTCATTTAATAAATAATAGCAACAATAAAGGTTAGCATTTATTAAGTGACTAGTGTGTAGAGTTCTGTCATTCCTGCAAGACAACTGTTAAAATAATTTCTCAGAGGAATAAGGTTTTCTTATTTCCCAGGACTCAGTGTTTCCTCATACAAGATCTCACCAGCCTCCACAACATATTCCTAGTGAGATCAGGAAAGGGTAAAATCCTCTGTTCAGTGACCGTCTGCTTCCAGCCCCAGGCTTCCATATACTTACCTTAATGTTGTCTATATTAGATAAAAGGGTCAGGGACTAGTTGGCTTCCAGTTGTTGCATATGGTGACCCTATTGAATCACGTACAAGTGGAGACGCATTTGACACTAGTTTTACGGGTGGGCGTGGGAAAAGGCAGCTAACATTTTTCTTGCTCTGTTATTAGGTAGGAGAAAAAGATTTGGGAGGGGAAGGCTAATCCACTTAAAATAAATTGAGTTTGAGGAATCTGTGTGATATCCAGATGGAGACAGCCTATTGTCATTTGAATGTA